AGGTGTTGTTTTTAAAGAAATCACCAGATTTTACCGGAGTTTCATCTGAAGTCTCCATGTGTTGACCGGTCAGCTCGTGATGGAAGTAACTCAGTGATGTCGGACACACCTGAGACAGCGTCGAGGATCAACCAATCACATTAGATGAAAATAAACGCTTATTTAATACCTATTGGCTGTAAATAAGAGTGGGCGTGTCCGGGGAAATCTGCAACAACCAGAAACAGAAGAGTTAACAGAAATTAACCAAATAAATTTTGAATACAACGTTTATTGAATCAGTAGCATTATACAAGTAAACTATTATTATATAATTAAATTACATTTAACCTTTTTATACAGCCTTTTTGGTCCCAGGATGTTGGAGGCGGCCGTATTGACTGTTTTCCGGGGTTCAAAGTTTTCTTACGACCTTAAATAAATGCGAAGGGTTAAGTTTGGACTGTGGGAGGAATCTGGAGCATCCAGAAAAAAACATGGGGAGAACATGGTGCTATCCACTGCACCACTGTGCCGCCCCATGCAGAGAAATGTCACTCTTAACCCATCCGTTAGTGAGTTACTTAGATTTACAAGTTTATAATATAATAAAGCAAAATCCTTTTTGTCGTTGTCACGTGTTTTGAGTTTGAGAAGAACATGTGACGATGAACGAGAGATGATGCAGAATGACACTGGCACCAAGGACATCAGTTAATAACACTTCAGAAACCAGCAGAATCATTTCACCTTTCAGACTTGAACTTGAAATGATGAAATAAAATGGAACTGAAGAGCAGATCCACCATTGCATTGCATTAACATGTAAATCTCTTCGGGAAGCCACGCCATCACTCAGACTCCAGCACCACTGATTTAATGATACGGTCCACTCCGAGTCCCATGTGCACCATAACTGCTCTATCCGTTTCATTTCTGTGTGAATAGACCCAGTTGATTATTTCCGTCCTGATCCCAGTTCCCTGGGAAACACATTTAATTCCCACTGACAGCTGGACTTCAGTGCAAGGTAACCGGACCTTTTAATTTGTAATACATGTCCAATTAGGACAACTCGATGCGTAACTCAAAAATTCCGAACATAATTTAAATTGACATGAAGTCATGTCAGCGCACACCGAGGAAGCAGCGTGAAGTGCAGTGATGTAATTTTTCAAAAGGGAAAAATAAATATTAGAAAAACCTCCTAGTACTTAGAGCTACTTAACAGCATCATGAACTAAAGCCTTTAAAGTTGTAACCTGCAGTAATTGTGATGGAAGGATTAACTAGTAATAATCGTGAAGGTCTTATTATTTGTACCCTGAGCACGAAATAACGTAACAGCATATGGATGGATTGGTGGATTGATTACTTGAGACAGGAAAATATTTTTCCAAAGGTATATATGGCAACAAAATCAAACAAATATACTTTATTGTCCCCATGGGGACATTTGTCTCAGGCCAAAGTGCTACAGCCGCTGCAGAACAGTGCATTGTGCAACACGCAACAAAAAATCAGACATACAAGGACATATCGCGTAAGACCCAGAATAACAATGCAGAATAAAAGTGAGTTGAATATTGCACCACATTTAAAATGATAAAACGCTAAGAGGACATAACACATAAAAGATGAGATCTTTGATATCAGGAGTCTAATTTCAGAATCAAGAACAATAAGACTTTGAGTCTGAAGGAATGAAGGTCCATCCATCTAGTATCTATGGAGCTTAAGTCTGACTGAGTTATATAACATTAGTTCTAGCCAGGCTACCATATGTTCTTGTTTCTGACGTCTGAGGCGAAATGAATTCAGTTTACACGGCAGCGCTATTTCATGATAAGTACATGAATTATTTGTTTGTGTGGTTACATCATGGTAACTTTCTTATCTTTAAATTCAAAACTATGTTAATCTATGTTAAATATCTCTGCAGCTAATTTAGAAGTGTCTCTTCAGTTGCAGTAGCACAGTCCACAGCTGGACTTGAACCGGGTGGCCGGTTCACGTCCAGCATGGATGGAAGTTGGAGAGGTGCTAGTTCACCCCCTGGGCACTGCCGAGGTGCCCTTGAGCAAGGCACCGAACCCCCCAATTGCCCCCCCCGGGCACCTTCATGGCTGCCCACTGTTCCGTGTGTGGTCACTGTGTGGATTGTGTTCCGTGTGTGCTCCGTTCACACGGATGGGTTAAATACAGAGGTCAAATTTCCCCATGTTTGCATGTTGCATGCTGTGTGTGGGACCAAAAATAGGAATCTTTATCTAAAATGTAAGAGTGGTGCCCCCATCACTGTTGAGTGTTTTAACTCGGGAGGACAGTCTGCTGTGTGCGGAATCCCTAAAATGTGTAATGCAGTGTTTTATCAATTACATTTTAATTTGCTCAGAGTTTAGTTAGAATAACTGTTTGATTCGAGGAAGATGACTGACGGTTCAAAAGCAGCACTGTTACCTGGAGAATCCTTTATGTAATATATTTATGCTCAATGCCAAAGCTCTGGCTGGCGTGAATGAGGCTGCATGTGCAGGATGTTATGAAATATTTCAGCACTTTAACTGTGATGACGCTGGTTTCCTCAGAAGCAGCATTTTGGTGACAGGTTTTAATAAAGGTGCACTTAAGCTTAGATGTAATGCAGTCCTGGCGTGTATGTGTGTGTGAGATATAGAATGTAACTGGGTTAATTCAAAGAGTAATGTGAGGTCTGCATTGCTGGAGGCATATGCCATGCGTCCCACGTGCCTGACTTCCAAATGAATCAAGGCTTTTCTACAGTGTTGATGCCACGAGCAAAGTGCATAGGGCTTTTTCAAACACTAAATATTACATCAAATAAGCCTGGCTGTGTCTCCGGTGTCACCATTGAAAGCAGAATCAGCTTTTCAAGCTCACAAAATTTTCATTGCTGATTGTGAACACACTCCTCTGGTGATTCTAAATTTAGTTCACTGCAGCCTGATTTGCAAAAGGTTGCACATAAATTTGTAGGTGACCCCATCGCACTAATTGCCTTGTTCAAAGGTGTCAAAACATGCACGTGGGGTAACACCCTTCTGCAACAGCCAAAGAATATCAAATAGCATTAATATGTAGAGTCTGTTCTTTTTATAGCGGGGTGAACGCTACATTTGTTCAGTGCACAGGGGCCCGTTGTCCTTGAAGCATGAAGTCGTGCGGCATTGCTCCGGAAACAAATTGCTTACATTTTACCTGTAATGAGCCTGATTATGATTCAAATATGTCGTACATATCATTTGCCCCAGACTGTTTCCTTGAGGTGGAATATCATGTCTAATAAATGTACTGCTGTGTGTATATATACTGAAGATATATGACATTTGGTGCTTGAAGCAAATGTCAGGTAAAATGAAATATCTATTTCCTTTGGGCAGAATGAGAAAAATCGAATCCTTGTTTAAGACAGAACTGCTGCAAACGATTAACTTTAACACTGTTGTTTGTAATAAACTGAGGCTTGGGATCAGGATGAACTGATTTAAATGTTTCTCTACTGATTTTCATTCATTTCATTGTGTAAGTCCAGATGAGAAGCAACCTTTTCATAATGAACATGTTGGCTACGTCATGGGCGATACCTCATCTGCTTTATAACGTCAGTACTGGGTATAGGATTGGTTCTGATCATAGACCTTGTATAAAGATGGACAACACATCTCCCGTTCTCTCTCGTTTTATGAAAATTAAGTATCCCAGAGATGGGGGCCACCATCTTGTGCTTTTGGAGCCTGGTAACCATGGAGTGGCGGCGCAGTACGGAGTCCCACCAATGACGCTTTGCCCCATTTTTATTGCATCAAATAAATCAAACCTACTAGAAACGTGTACTTGAAGGCACATCAGTGTGATCAGAGCTAGCGAAAATGAAAAACGATCTTTGGAATAAAAAATAAACTAACCATTCACCAACATTGAGGAGGCGGGGTTTATGTAGTAAAGTTCAGTGTGTCAGTAGAATAAAATATCAATCTATAGTTAATATTTTATATCCCTTGTTGTTCATGTCTAATTGAAGATTGTAGCTACAGGTTGGGAAGTTATTAAATATTTTAATTAGCTGCAAATGATGAAAACTTAATGAGAATGGTTGAAGAAAACTCAAGGATTAGAATCTGATGACTGAATTTTATACTGGATTCAGATTATGATAAAAAATACTATCAAACACTAACCCTAGTATTGAATCAGATACTGATCCAGTGTATCGGTGCATTACACAAAAAAACAAAACATTTACAATATTCACATCTTATCGTATTTCATTTTCTTTTTCTTCTCTTGATATACACATTCTGCATCTGGCACCAGAAGCACTTTATTTTATCTGGGGCTGCTATTCAGTTAACCAGCACAATAAACAAAAGCAAATAAACAACAAAGAAATGTATTTCCTGTCTCCTGGAAAGTCAGAGACTACTTAAATAAACATTTCTTGCTCTGAGCCCCTAAACAACTCGTCTCTGAGTTGCTCTGTAATCTCCCGCATGCAGCATTGTGCTCACTTAACCTTGCAGAAAGCTGTTTCTTTATTCTGCGAAGCTTAAATAATACAGGTCCGAGAGGGCAATCGAATGCTCACTAACAGATCTGAATCTCACTTTGTGTGAGCCTGGACCTGGGTCTCTCCTATAGGCCTCCATAATTTGGACTTTTCAAGAGCTGCTGTGTTTTTTCGCTGACTGCTCGGGGAAGTCATTGGATTGCTGTTCACGTCAGACTGTTACTTGTAATCCATCATTGCAAAGCAGACCACCTCCGTCCCAACGCTCCCAGCAGCAGCTCTCTGCTGTAATTCCTCACCCAGTGCCATTACTGCAGTGTTATTGTTTTGTAACTGCTTCAGCTCTGGTGGGGATGGAGGAGGGTTGGATATACGAGTTTCATGCACGTTTGTCAAATTGAAAGAATTTCAACACAGGATCTTTTTCATTCTTTGTTCTGTGTGAATAATCAGTGTGGATATTTCATGTTTCATTCTTATTCTGTTTTTTCAGATCGAGAAGATCATGAACCTGATTGGAGCAGGCATAGAAACGTCCAAAAGCAAACAGCCCACACGGAGCTCAGGTAATGCATCACCACTTTTTCTATTTTCTCGATGATTGATTTCAATTTATGCAGAACGGTCTACTGACTTAATGCTCCTGGACCAACAACAGACATTGCCCGGAGATATTATTTTCTCAGATTGACCGTCTGTTCTCCTTCCCATCTTAACTCGTGAGAGCTTTGAGGGAATCTCTTCAAATTTGGTACAAACATTCAGTTGAACACAATATCTCAGGAACGCCTCAAGGGAAAACGTTCCAATTTTGCACAAATGTTCACTTGGACTAACAAATTATTAGATTTTTGTGGTCGGTCGTCAAAGTTCAAGGTCACAGTGAGCTCACAAATGATGTTTTTGCCTCTTGAACATGATATCTTAAATCTGCCCTCAGGGAATTGTTTCAGATTTCGACCAGTTGTCACTTGGACTTAAAGATTCACTGATTAGATTTCATTGGTAGAAGGTTACGTGACCTCATATGAGTCTGTCATGTTTTATACATATGGTGGTTGGCAGAGCCACACAACAGTAGGGTGGTGATTCTAGTTTATGAGTTGTGATTTCGTGGTACGTAATTTATGAGTTAACGCAAAACAACAAATGGGTTTGGGGAATTAAGTCATCAACCATTTATAAAGCTCCTAATTGCCTTGTTGCTGCACTGATGATTGAATTGAATAGGAATTGTAGATAACATTAGCAGCAAACTTTTCACACTTTGTACCTGGTTACATTTATGTCTTATTCAAACACTTGGACATTAGTGTCGTTGTCCTTATAAGTCAGAGATTCAGGCTGTTATTTCTTTGACACATCATTGTTAATGGGAAACGTAATACTAAATTCCCCTCGCTGTCATATTTTCCTGTTTCTCTGTTAATGTATATCTTTATAGACTGAGCTGATAGTACGTTTCTTCAGGAGTCCTTCAGGCAGTGCAGAGGGAGAAGCCAGCTGGCATTAGCTCACTGTGTTTAGATAACACTCCTGAGGTGATACAGTATAAACCCACCTCCATTAGATCCTCCGCCATAAGGACGTTTCATCATACACTGTTGTATAACAGCCTGTTTCTGGGTCTGCCCAGCACTGCACAAGATGGATTTGAATAAAGTTTTCTATAATTTGGCGCAGTGTGCTTCACTGACCACACATCTGCTGACCACAGCAAGGTGTAGGAGCCAGCAGAAATGGTCAAATGTGATCAAATAAAATAAAGAGAGGATGGTGGGAAAGAAACGGCATTGGAATTAGGATAATTAAAACTGTCATTATTAGATAAGTAAATTTAACCTTACATTTCTTTTTCCTATCAGCCCATTGTAAAGTCTGACAGTATGCATGTGTATGCAAGCAAATTTAGTTTGACCCAAGCAACCAATTAATTTAACTGCTGAGCACAGTGAACATTCAGGGAATCTACACATTCCATCAACTCTCTTCCTGATTTCATAAGTTAAATTTTACTTCACTAATGAAGAAGAAACATAGATGAGTGGCGAGAAAAAAGTTGACATCTTAAACGTGAAGATAACAACGGCCTTTCCCCAATTTAATTATCACTATAATAAAAGTTAATTCATACAGAAGCGTTTAGAAACAAAATGTGCCTTTCAAAATAAGAAAGAGCAGATAATTGAAACTTCTGAATAAAGCTAATTATTCAACTAATAAAATAACTTTGCTATGACATCTCTCACATCACCACGTAAATTGTAATCAGTTCCTTCCAGGCTGCATTAAATAATAAGATAAATCAATTATAATCGTTAACATTATTTTACAATACATATTAACTGAGTGACCCGGGAGCAAAGCTGGTTTCCATGGTGTTGACATTAATTGTAGCTTGACTTCCAGCACATCCAAGCGTACTTAGATTAATTACTATGCTAACAATTAAGACCAGAGGTTGTGTGACATTACATAAAGGGAAATATGTTGTTTGTTTGTTTGTGTGTTTCACATACAGGTGTGTGCTATTTATAGACTCGTTTGAGGAAAGGCACACGGAAAGTGTCCCAGATTCAGCTGAGTCATGCAGTCGCTTGCAGATTTAAATGGAAGATTCTGCATAAGTAGCTCCAGAGGCTGCTTTTGTTGCTGTTTTTTGTGTCTGCGCACGTTGGAAAAAGAGGTTTTGCTTCTTTTTCTCAAAAATTTACTGAAAAGAAATAAGCAGGAGAGGAGGCAGAGAAGGAGGATTTACACAAAGATGAGAAAATAAATGGTTGCTCTTCATCCAACCTTTATTTCTTTTCTTATTTTAATTTGTTTGTCTATCATGAAGTGCAAAAACCTTTTCATGCACCTTTCCATTGTTTACAGTCCCACTCCAATCATGGAGCCAAGGACGGCCAATGAATTCATCTTTAGGATGCAGCTTTTCTGAACATCAGATTTTTTGTGGCTGTGAAAAAAAGCCTGCCCCTCATTTTTGTGCCGTTTTTCACACTCGAGGATGAGATTGTTTGTGTTGTGTGCCCATCACAGCACCTTGATTGTGCGCTAAGAGAGCGCTGAGTAAATGAGCTTAAAAAGAGAGAGGGAGCGGCGAGAGAGCTCAGCTAACAGCACGCAGGAGGCATCGGCTCGTGGTTTGTGTACAAGCACACATTGACGTTCAAAGGAAAAGAATCCGCCTTCAGTTTCCCTGAATTAATTCAGCTTTGCGGCTCATTTTCTCCCGAGCTTGGGTGTGTTGACAAGGAGCTTGTGCTTTTCTTCTCTAAGAAAGACTCACTTCTTTATCCAGACACAACCTCTACCTCTTCCTCTGTAAATAGATGCTTCTAATGGCTGCTCCTCGGAGTCAAGTCTAGACCTCAGTGTTCAAAAGGTGCAGAAACCCACTTGGATAGATTTGCCGGCTCGGCCTGTTTAACAGGGGATAAGACAGTGACCCAGTTTCCCCCCAGGGAGGAGCAGTGGATACTCTTGTCAGTCGGTAATTAGGTCCTATGACTGTGGGAGGTTTTGCAGTCCCAAATGTATGGAGGTAATTGGATAAGGTGGCTGGTATTTTTAACAGTCTTTGTCTAGATATTGTGGTTTAAGGGCTGAGTTTGGTTTGAGGCTCAGTAGGGAAGAGAAGAGCAGCAGCAGGAGGAGGAGGAGTTGTGGGATCTTGTAGTGAATCATAATTAGTCTACTTCAATCCTCCTTACTTTCTTGAGATAAGATGGTGAATTTTATCTCACCCATATGTTTCATCGCCTCCTCTTCCATTAGTCCTCTTCTGCCTCTTATCTGTCTTCCGCTCATTTTCTCTCTCTCTCGCTCCCTCTCTCCATCACTCTTCTCCTCGTTCGGACCGAATCTGACAGCAGCTCCTCCTCCTGCTCGAGATTGATGAGCGCAGGCCCTCGCCTATGACTGACGGGTCACGGGGAGACCTGACCTGGCCTTTTACCTGATCGTTACCTCCGCAACGCAACGCTGGTGCAGGCAGCCAATTACGGAGGTGGTCCAATCAATAGCCCTTCACATTGCCTCCCTCTGTTGGCACCGCTTTGCCTCGCCTTGACGGCCTCACCAACCGGCCTGGCTACCGGTTTGTGTGAGGCGATTGCGAGCAGCTTGAAAGCCTGCATAATTACGCTCCTGCCTGCAGCTGTACCCAGATAACAGGTGGCAAGCAGCCCCGACATAGGTGGGTGCTGAAGTACCGAACTCCCTGTGTCGACTGAAGCAGTTCTTTCAAAGTCAAATGGTCTTTTTAGCCCCCAAAAAGTATCTCGAGTTTTTAAATCATCGCACTTGCATATCCCGTAAGTGGCCTCAGCTGAGCTCTAAAAATGGTTGATGTGACACAAGCATCTGGAAGTACAGGGCATAATGGAATTTGCCTCTTCTCTGTCATGCTGTATGACTGGATGAGATGGAGATGGACCTGAAGTGTGTCTCCTCCTCTCCTCTCCCTTTCCTCTCCTCTCTTTTCCTCTCCTCTCCCCTCCCTCTTGTCCACTGTGAGTGCATTAGAGACTTCTACCGACTTGAACCAATGCTGCCCCCCCTCGTCGTATCATCAAAGTAAGATGTAAATGAACTTAAGCCATCTGCTAATAAGCGGAGGCTTTCTTTCAATACCCTATGTTAGCCCAAAAACAAAAAACGTGACACTCCTCCTGCAGAACACGATGGGTCGCCGTCAACCGTTTACATTCTTTGCAGAAAAGCAGTGTGATTTTTGGGCTTGCTCCTTGTCTCTGATGGTAGTGTCCTCTCTTCACTGCCAAGATCAGAGTGCCTCCATGCAATTCTAATCAATGCACCACCTCCCCTCCCAATTAAGGAGGGCTATGAGGGGTTTTTGATGGTGGCGATGGGGGAGTTAAAAGCCAGACAGAGAGTATGAGTACATTCGAGAGGGGACCAAGAGAGAAGGGGTAGAGAGACAGACGATGAGGCAAGAGACAGAGAGTGTGTTCTGCATCTGCGTTTGAGAGCGAGAAGCAAGGAGCGAGACAGAGTGAGGGAGAGTGCAAGGCAGAGGGAGGGGAGCTGAGATAGTGGGAGAGTGAGGGAGAGGTGGTTACGTGGAGCAGCACCCCACTTCATCAGGCAGCATACGGCAGCCCTGCAGTGCGATCACACAGCGTATGGGAATGGGGCTATGAGATCGAGAGGGAGAGACAGAAAGCAGAGAGAGAGACGAGAGCGAGGAAGGGGGGGAGTTGAAAAGAGGAGCTTGAGGGATTTGCTCAGATGAGAAGGGGGGATGATCACTGAGTCTGTCGGCTGTCGTGGACGTGGGAAGGACGTGGCTGCGGTCGCTGAGGTTGAGGCAGATCAGATCGTGGTCTCCTGTGTAGAAGTCGAGCCGGCGTCAGGACGTTATGCCCTGTGAGCAGTGAGGGGGGGTAGCGTGTGTGAGCCAGGAGCAGCTGCCGTGACTGCATCTGCCTGCATGTCTCAGACAGGCAGGGGATGCAGCAAACCTCTGCCCTGAGAACAGAGGCTGCTAGCTGCACCCAGCGAGGAGAAGAACCAGGTGGGCTGGGGCGTGAGTTGGAGTGGGGGAGGTTGGCGCTTGCCTCGGGGAAAGGAGCTGGCTTTAACCCGCACTGTGGTCCTCCTGCAGAGATCCTCGCTCCAGAGTCAAGAGGCTCACCTGCCGTTTAATGGATCTGATCCTCTGGATTTACTGCTCTGAGAAATGAGAGGCACGTTTCCTGCTGGAGCCTGCGGAAGAGTGTGAATGCTGGGCAGCACAGGGAGCACCAAGGACACCAAGCCTTTTGCCACTGGCACGCAGCTTTCCCGGAGCTTTATCAAGGAATCTATACTTGCATTTGACCATGAATTGAGGAGTTTGGAATCAGCACACTGTGGAAATCCCAAAGCCAACGTTTCTCTCTGTCTCGATTGCAGGATTTACAATATGTCTACCTGACTGTAGTGACTATGGAGTAAACATGATTTAAACAAATGCTTTCCCTTGATGATAAATAACACGAGTACCTCAACAGTACTTTATAGAATGCTGCTACCTTCATTGTATGAGCCGTGTCCTAGCTCTCAAAGAGGTTGACCAATGAAGCCATGGGACTCAGCCAGAGCTTTACAAGTATGTGGTGAAAACCCTGACAAATTCATTTTGGGGGAACTGAAATATTTGTGTTACACCCTGATGGAGTGGTTTCTGATTTTAGAGAAATGACGGGGATAGTTTTAAGCATAGTGAATAATGTGTGATGTATGAAAATGTCTGATGTAGTGTTAAATAATTTCCATTTTTCCTCAGCCTGATATTTTACCCACTCCCTGACTTGTAGTGTTCAGTATTGTCATGTTTTTGGACTAGCCAGAGTCTTGTTTTTACACTCGCTCATCTGCTCACTAAAGGAATGTTTAGTGAACCCTGTTTGTTGGAAGATGCCGTAGTGGCTCAGTCCAACATAACTAACAGTACCGAGCTTCAGATGGGCTTCCTCCCCTGCACTACCTCCACCCTCGCCTGACAGCTCCAGTCAGTCACAGTAACACCCGAGCGTGTATATTAGCCTAGTCAGTCCCCCCCGCAGGGCTTGAGCTGGGCCCCGCAGCACTTCCCATCCTTCCGTGTTTGAGTTTAGCCGGGCCCCCGCCTGTACCGTGGGAGCCCCCTCACCCCCGGCCTGGACCCTGTCTCCCCCCCACCCTGCCTGGTGCTGCTGCACTCGGCTCTGCCTCTGCTGGCCGAGAATGATGTGGCAATGCCATGTGTCGTCCTCTGAGTGCCGCTGCTACCGGCTGAACGGCTTCTCACTGCTGAAGCGCTTCCCTCTCTCGGCAGATGGGGCCTGCGGTAGAGCCCTGGACCAGCCGGTGGGAGAGTGGCTGGAGCACGTGGGGCTGCCGCAGTACGAGAGCAAGTTCCTGCTCAATGGCTTTGACGACCTGCGATTCATGGTGAGTCACCTGCGGCACGTCATCCACAGGGGTCGGGTCCACTCTACTTCACTCTGCCTCTGCCCCTGTCAACGTTGCTGCATTTGTCTTTTTATGTCAACGCTCTGCTCCTTTCTCACTTCCTCCACCCCCCCACCCTCGTCCCTCTGTCATGCTCACCCTTGAACCCTTCGTCTTCTACCCCCCTCTATCCCCCTCATAACTCCTCATCACCCCTGTGCGATGCATGACCCTGCTAAGATTTATGGCCCCTCACTAAATCCCTTAAAAGAATATGGGCTGTCACCAATAGCAAGACAAATGACGACCAAAACCCATTAAGGTTTTTCCCAGCTTTCCCAATCATGCTATCTCATTTACTGTACCGTTATTACAGTCACCTCCATCCCTTATACTGGATCCTCTGCTTCACAGATACTTGACTTGAGCTAGAGACATTGAGCTAACCCTAACCCTAATCTTAGCCTTAACGCTCACCCTAGACAAACAATCCCTGATCTAAACACACTGTAGTCTATTCTAAATACACTTTGCATGGTTGCTTGCCAAATCCCCCTTAATCTGCCACCCATCATGCTTTGTGCTCTGCTTGTGCTGCTTTTGAGACAATCTTCCACAAACTGCACAATGTGTGTTTATGTTGCAGCAGCATGTTTTAACACTATATTTAAATCCTGTGTAATCATTGTGTTTGGACACTAACCACACGTTGGCATGCAGATGTTTATTTTGGTGACAGATTTATTAAATCAGAAGTAAGTGCATCATCAAAACCCATATGTTGACTGTAAAGATTACTGCCTCTGAAAGTCATCGACACAGTTTGCACGAATGTTCTCCATTTTTTAAACTCCTCAGTCAGATTACATATTGATAACTTCAGTTAACTGCAGCTCAAAGCTTGTGTGCGATCTGACTAAAAGCGTTATCATGTTTCTTGAGAGGAACATTGCGAGGAAACCCGATACTGCATCGGGCGATGATTGTAGAAAACACCATTATGTTTCCGGTCCCACAATCATGTTACTCTGAAAAAACATGTGCTGCACACTGTAAATAACTCGCCCCACAGGGTGCACTCGGACATTTGTCAGACCTCAGCGCTGCGTTAGCACTATGGGCTATATGTTACATCGGTTTGTCACAGCTGAGCTCAGTTAAGTGAGGGCAGTGAGCTCAGAGGGAAGGTGGTTGAATTCACTAAGTGGTTCAGTTGAGGCGTGCTGGTTAAAGAGTGAGATTAATACGTGATGGTTGGCCTCACAAACACGTGATCACGCATACTGCACTGAACGGGTCCGGTCTTTAGACTGTGATTTGATCAGGAGGTGACACCAAGTGTAAACAAGTGTAATACACAGTCCTAGTATGTAGACGGAGTAAAGAGGCGACGGTTAGTGATATTGATTAGAACTGGACTGATCCAGACAGACTCATCAGCAGATGTTAGCTTATTGCACTTCTACTACTGTTGTGTATATATCTAGCATTAGGTAACAGCTCAGTAACACCACAGATAGTGATAATAGTGAGTTCACCAGAGAACAGACAAGTTCCTGCTTTGTATCTTTCATGGTCAAGTTCTTTGTTAATGTTTTTGTTTTATTATTAACCATAAAATGCTTTGAAGATTAATTTTAACAATAATAATAACAACAATAACAAAATTAACTTTCTTTTATTATATTGATAAGATAATGAAAGTATGAAATTGTTTTTAATCAGAACGAATGAGAATGTTTCATTAATGTAAAGTTAATTAAATGTGTTAACAACAGGAATAGATATATAACGTTGATGAATTTAGTTCGTTCCTTCTTGGATTGCAAGAAAAAAACGAATTTACTAAAACATGCATCTTCTTCTGATATCACACATATAAAACATGTTGGGGGAAAAGTGAAGACAGAAACAAAAAAGGAAAGATTTAAAGAATTATTACCTAATTATTACATACAGAGTTATTACATATCTATAAATTGACCTGAACAGCTGTTTTGGAGTCTGTACTGGTTGACACATTTTTATTTTCATGATCTTATTTTACGTATACATGCAGTTGTATACTAGCGAATAGTTATCTAACAGTAAACAAATCAGCCTTCGGTACAATTCCACTGTAAGATTGTACTGTATGTTGAAGAGGATTTGTGGGCAGCGGCGTGATGAGGGCTGCGGGTCATTTGGCATTCTGATGTTCATTTTCCTGCCACTGCTAATGTGTCAGCTGGACGTGATGGATCAGGGAGATAAATCATTAGGCTCACGAGGCAAATTACTCATGGATATTTACAAGGATGTGGAGGTTGCAAACAGAAGGGAAAGGTCAGAGTAGTCAGGCGGACATTGTGAATGTTTAATATTGTGCCCTTTTAGATTCTGTCCCGCTCGCTTCAGATGTGATCAATCTGACTGAACTCCAGCATAAGAACTTATTTGTGGGATTCGCTGCAAAGACCAGACGGCTGATCAGTAGAGGGCAGTAAAACGTGGCTCGGTTCCAAGTCAGTGTCATGTTTGAGTGCGTTTATGTAATAAAAACAACACAAGGAGAAGCAGAAGAACATACGTGCGTGAGTCTTAGATGCAAATAAAAGCAGGATCAGCATAAACACAAAGCAGCTTCTTCACCCGCGTCCAGAGGAAGATGAAAACTATCCTCCATCTAATTCTGCAGTGGCAGAGATCTCGTACTGTACCGACTGAACCGCCGCTGTCACAGCTGAAGATCTACAGTGCTGCTTGGAAACTTTCCTGTGGCCCTCCTACCCGAGCAGAGAGCAGGCGCTCACATGAGTCGGCTCTCTGCATGCGATGATTGCTCTGAGATGCAGCTTTTGAGGGATCATAAATTATGAACAGCTGTGTGCCCATTCTCATAATTTTTACACGATGATTATCATTTTGTGCGTCTTTCATGCTGCCAGAATTGGGGCAGCCGTGGCTTTCGTTCTCGTGGCCTTCATGGCCCACACGTTTCATTTACAGTCAAAGATTCAAAACGATTTCTCCTCTTTGTTTTTCTCTCCTAGCGTTACGCTTTGTTGCTCTGACGACCAAACTAATGTGGCAATGAGCCAAATAGTCGACTGCAAAACATCTTAGAAATGCTCCATCATGCATTTACATCCCTCCTGCATTAATTTTGCATCAGACTCCGCAGCCCCTGCTCACTCAAACGTTATAATGTAGTAGTGAACGTACATATTTTAACACATGAAATAGGTATTTTTCTTTTCTTTGCCAGATTACAGTTGCGGCTGCCGATTCCTGAAACCGCGACAAAATTAGATTTTTCCAAACATCTCCTCTCTGGGGCACGGAAATTCCAATTTACTGTTGCATTAACTGAGTGCATTTAGTGAGATGAAGGACTTCTACCATGGCTACATCTGCAAGTCGTATCAGATTAAATCAAACTACCAGAGCTCATAAGCTATGTAAGAAATCAACCATACATTTCCGTCACACGTTTCCAATGCAGCATGAAATAATACGTTTGCGGAGTCTCCCGAGGCGTCGTCGAACTTCAAACTGTGTTAATAGAAGTGGGGGAATCTATTTTGGTCCTCTCAGCTTCATTTTGACCTTTTATTCTAGTGATCAGTGAGTAATCTCTCCACTGCGCCCTGATACAGGCCAACACTGCTGCATTGTGCTCTGAAGCCAATCCAGCGAGAGCACACTGAGTAAAGACTACAGAACATTTTAACATTCTTGGCCAGGAAGATTTAATCTGCAGCCCTCCACAGGGGAAAAACGCTTAGCTCCACATATTCAAGGTTCTCCTTGTGTCTTCACTCCCGCCTGTAAACTTGACTGAAGATGACAAAGCAACTGGAGCCGAGAACACGAACAGATACACGAGACAGACGAGAATCTGCTTGAGATTACAGGAAGTGGAAACATTGTTCATTCCGTTTCCTTAATTGAGGAATTGTTTCAAACTATAGTGAAATATTTGTATTCCTTGTTGGACTGTTGAGTTTCTCCTCAATGAGACACTGTGTGGAAGCTGCTGCAGCCATGAAGGCTTTGTTCTCTTTGAGTCGCACCAGATCAGATTGATTACTCTTGGCAAGCACAATTCATTTGACTTCATTGTCCTCCCACTCTGCTGTTCTTGCTTTTGTCAGGGATGTGTGTGTGTTTGTGTGTGTGTGTGTGTGTCCCTGGAAGCTGTCATTGTACAATATGTCACAACACTTGTATTGACCTATGATCTCATCGCCATTTGTCAGTGTTGTCTTTCATATGTAAATTTACAGTTTGTGTCTGAGTGAGATGTATTGTGCGATAAATAACTGACGCACTATCTTGTATTGTGCTGCTGTATGTCCACATTGTGAATTGTGTCTGTGCATGCATGTGCGTGTGCTTGATTGTCATGGTGTGTTTGCGTGTGGCTGTGCGTGCGCCTGTGTGTGAATGTGTTTATTTGCACTTTGTCTCTTGTGTTTGTGCACATGCAGGGAGGTAACGTGATGGAGGACCAGGACCTCAGAGACATTGGGATCACCGACCCAGGACACAGAAAGAAAATCCTCCACGCGGCGCGCAACTTGCCCAAGGTTCGTAACGTCGGCACAGAGGAAGGAACGTGACTGGAAAAGTCAAAATATCTCTATAAAACAAAATAGCAAAGATGCAAACAAATGCAAAAAGAGAATAAACGTTTTGTAATCATGCATGGACACAATGATAACTTGATTTGTGCTTCATCAGAGATTAAATAACAACTTTCAAACAAAAGACGTTAAATGGAAAAACTTGCTTTTTATCTCAGATACTATGGATTTAGGTGCAAACAAGTCAATCAACTAGAATCTCACTCAGTAGAACACATACCTCCCTCATGGAGAAATGTGAAATAAATCTCTGTCAGACCTGGTGACTTATGTAGGGTGCACTCCGCCTCTCACCCAGTGTCAGTAGGGATTGGCTCCAGTTCCCACATAGGTGGTATAGAGCATGCATGCATGCATGGATGGATGGATGGATGGATGGATGGATGGATAGATTCAGGAAAGCATTTATAGTTTCTATCCATCCATTAACGGTACTGCTCATCCTTCAGGGTTGAAGGGAGGCTGATCTTATAGGTGCACCCTGGACAGGTTGCCAGTGCCGACATATAGAGACAAACAATGATTCAACCTCATACACCTACCAACCAGCTAACCACTGCACCACCATGCCGCCCAAACGATAACACCCTGATATAAAATACGCTTAATGTTCACCATCTTGATTCAGCCTCTCAACCATTTGGATTAATATTGACATTAAAAAGGTAACCTGACGATGGCTCCAGATGAAAAGGTCACAGATCACCAAAGTTTCAAAATTCTGTTCTCTGTGTAATTGTAATTTTATCCTCTGTCCATGTCCATACCTGGTTCTAGGCTTCGTTATTTCTTTAATTGCTGTAATAATACAACTGGAAACACTTTTTTTTTTTTACTGTGCATTGATTTTTTAAATTATTTTTTAGGAGAATAAAGGTAAAGTCCTCACTTAGACTCACACGTGTCCTCCTCCACTCTGCAGGTAAAAGCTCTGGGCTGTGATGGCAGCACGTCTCTCGCCTCTTGGCTGGACGGCCTTGGCCTGCATGAATATCTGCCCAACTTCCTTTCAAGCGGCTACCGCACGCTGGAGTGTGTGAAGAACCTGTGGGAGCTGGAGATCGTCAATGTAAGAATCACTGATTATATTTCTTTTCATTCTGGGCTCTTACAGATGAGGGCTGATTATTGTTCAACGTGTCACATTTTGAAAAATACTCATGATGGACTCAACACCTCTGACATACTGGTTTCCTTGTGGATCTGTTGCAGAAACACAGAGATTAGTGGAAAAAGAACCGATCTCATGTAAAGTCAAGGGCACTGTGCTGAGTGATTACAGGGAATTTGGTTTAATCCTTGTGGAAATAACATTTAAAAGCTGCAGAAGTTACAAAATGTAATTTTTCAGTTGAACATGTGTAGAGGAGTTAGTTTGTGAGTTTGTGTTTGTGCAGCGGAGGATAAATCTGACGGATAACAGGACAGAAAAGATAAAAAACACTTGTTATCGTCTGCTCCATTTTCTCTAATGATTAATTTCTTGTGAAATACTGGATTGTTTTTCAACCTCGGAGAGAAGAATCAAACTTTGGTTGAACTTGTCGAGTCTGTCGTGACGCTGTTGTAAGTCGACATTGTTTTGTTTGTATGACTCACATGTTAAGATTGTTGACAGCTGCTAAGCTTCTTTATAGAAATCTTTACTCGGGGCGGCACGGTGGAATGGTGGTTAGCGCTGTCGACTCACATTAAGAAGTTTCTGGTTTTGAACCTGACAGCCGACCATGTAGGGTTGTTTGGCTCTATACATCTGCCCTGTGATTGGCTGGGGACCTGTCCAGGTTGTACCCCCCGCCTCTCACCCAATCTCAGCTGGGATTGGCTCCAGACCCCAGTGACCCTTAGATGATTTGCGGTACAGACAATGGAGGGATTTATTTGACCTTATTCACCTCAGGGATGAGTCATACACTTTGTCCCATTGTGTTTTCCAACTCAACTTGTTGTATTAAGAAACAACCTCAACATAACACTGGACTCTTGACTTGTCAGCCTCTCTTGAATTTCATCCTTAGTTTCAGTGGAGACCACCTGTCTTGTAGAAAGGAGCCAGACGATCCAAACACGTGCTCTTAGCATGTGGATAAGTATGTTTCTCAGCCGTCGTATGTTTTATCTACAGTCCCTGATGTGTCTGGCTTGATCGATGCAGAGACTGAAACCAGCTGCAGTTGCATCAGCAGCTGCAGGAGAGCAGCAGCCAAACGCACTGTGCTGTATATGCAGTGTTTGAGGGATGGGGTCCAGCAGACTGCGATGCAGCACAGCGAGATGGGTGTGAGCGCAGGGCACGTTACCGCCAGTGTGCAGAGCAGCAGAACGGCCTCTGAGCATCTTGGCAGGACTCACTTTGCACATTCCACTTCCTACATCCTCCTCAGCATCTTTCAGCAAACAGTATCAAACGTCAAGATGATGTACGAGCTGGTTTACACTTCTGTACAATCCCAAGGCTCTTTATTACAATTTAAATGATCTCAGGCACCTCCAGCACATACTGGTCTCGCTGGGATTCTGTGCATGAGAATAAATGAAAAATGAAAACGGCACCAACAGAAAATCCAGAGCACGAACCAGTTGCCTCCTCTGCCTGCGACTCTCGCTGAATAAATAATCGAAGCCTTCAGACAAAGAACCACACGATCCTGTTATAGAAAATTTTGTACCAGCAACGTAATTCCAAATGTAACATTAATCACTCGAACATCCACCTTAACTTGATGAGTACGAACGTTAATAGCCAATTATGCAAATGTGCAGTAATAAGATGATGAGCTCTCACTGCATAAAATGAACCTGTGTTCTTCTATTCTTGCCACACCACTTTGAAAAGACATTTACAAAAGGTTTAGACACAGAAACCCTGGATCAGTGTGTGGCAGCTGCTGAAATACTGTAAATTAAAAACATACATCTACACAGCCTGACTCTTAGTTTTCAGCAAATCACTTTTGTTTTTTGCATTTTACCTGGTATCATCCCATAAATCAGCACTTTCTCTGGTTGTCTGATGAAAAATGTCGTGTGAGTTATGAAGTGTCCCTGGAAGGAGACGCTGCTGCACTTTAGGCTCATGGCAAAACAGATTGAAGCTGAATTATTGACGAGAGTCTTTTGGCCGGCCGGCGGGCGGCTGCCAGCGAGGAGTGAACTATTCTGTGTTTTGTTTTTATACATGTATTTGCTTTGTGGAGATAAATTCTTCTATTTGATATATTGATGGAGTGAAGTTTGCTTGCAGGTGATTAAAATCGGTGCCCTGGGCCACAGGAAGAGGATCATCGCCTCTCTGGCAGAGAGACCCTATGAAGAAGCTCCCAGCAAGTCCCGTCGTCTGTCCCCTATTATGGTGAGACTGGGGACTTTTGTAATTGCTTATCCAAACTAGAGCTGCAGTGATTTCTCAAATAATGTATTCGTTGATCTAGTTAATCAGAAGTAAGAGGTTTTGTCATTTCGGCTCCAGATGTGAGATTTTCTGACATTATATGGAGCGACTCAGTTTATTTGATTATTTAACTATTTTATATTGTTTATTTGTCTTTCTCTCTATCGTTCTTAATGTGTTTCTATGTTTCTCTCTATCTTGTATTGTTTCTCTCTATCTTTCTTTTAGTATTTCTATTTCTCTCTATCTTTCTCTTTGTCTTATTATTATTATTATTATCGATCATGTAGATGATTATAAGTTGCGGCCCTAAATCCAGGTTACATTACCAATGACTGATTAATAGTTTCATTGAAAATAAAATGCACAGCTGGGTGATATTTTTACATGACTGTGAAACCTGCAATAACCCTGAAGTGCAAATCATAACAACAGTCGCTGTGTTGTCTTATTGCTCGATGTGTTTTGAGATGATTTGTACTTCGGGGCCTCGGTGGATAATCATAACATTTTGTTCCGTGTTGTAGTACAACGGTTTAACTGTGCGAACCCTGCAGAGAACAGTGTTCATTAGATGACACAGGTTTGATATCTTCTCTCTCTCTGAAGCACAAAAAGACACCACAGTGTCAGTAGCATGTTTTTATCTGAAGCACTGTGAATCAGACTGCAGCAGCGTTAGAGCCACTTTATCACCACTACACTGCAGAAACATACTGTCAGCGCTAATTCACTTAATACACTGGTTCTGCTCGAGATGGCCAATTAGATAAAAGGGTAGTTCTGCAGATGCCCTCAGTGTGACCCATATTTAGAGCCAGTGATGCTGCTGCAAGATGTTTTACACCATAAAACGCTTTCAGAAGAAAAAAGTGATGGATGCTGCTTCTCTTATTGGACAACGATCAGAACAGAGCTTAAGATGGAGGTTAAAGTCACGTGGACATCTGCGTCTCTACCCCAACATCCTTTTGTGAGAAAATGGATCCTCTTCTTTCTGCGGCGGAAATCTAATTTTGGAATGAGATCCTTCAATATCATTATGTTCACAACGGTTAAATACTCAGGGCTGATTTCCCAGGCAGATTAAACTGGGCTAGAAAGAATGGAGACTCTCCACGGAGGAGGCTCTTTTGTGGAGGATTAAGCTTGGATGTAAATCAGGGGAAACCGGCCTGCGTACACAGCGCTGTCAGATCATTCATCTGTGCTGTGTTTGTGGTGTTTGTGTGTGTTTGTGTGGCAGTTTCATGACCTCCTGTCCCAGACCACATCCCCCCTCAGTCAAATGGACCCCTACACCAGTCGCTCCATGGACATGCTCCTGCCGCTGACCGAGTCGGACCGCAGGCGGAGAGGAGTGGACCAGGACTGTAGTGTGTCTCTGCGGTCTTACAGCGAGAGGCCGCGCTCTGTAGTGAGTTCCTTATTTCACCTTTATCGACTTCAGGAGAAAAGATCTCGTTCTAATTCACTCTCAGTGAGCGATTCGATGGAGGGGGACGCTGCACAGTCACTGAGACACTGAGCTGATCTGGATGCAAAACTAACTTCCTGGTTGAGTTAAATCTCAGCGGTCAGAGCCAAAGAACTACAACATTAGAATGTGATTAGAAAAATTGAAATAGGACAAAATTACTGTCGAGTGATTGAATAAAATATAAAGTGAGACAATTTGTCTACTGTCCTAGATTTGGCTGTATTGTTTGTTCTGTGTCTTTTATATTGGAGGATGAATTATTCGACCATTGTGGACAATGTTGGGAATCAATGAGCAGTGAGTCTTAAAACAATATATTTAAAAGAATTACTTTGGTTTGTCTGACACTTAATTTACTTCAGCCAGTTATCAGTTTAATTGATTTCCCACAATAAGTTTTATAACTTACATAACTCCTCTGTTAAAAAGGGGAAAGTAATATCATGAAGCTCAGCAGTTTCTCCTCTGGTGAAAAAACCCATATATTTTAGATGTTTAGCTAATTTCTCCTTTTTTCATATTTAAAAAAATATATATTGCAGAATATGGAGAATATATTGTCAGTCTTTGATTTCAAAAAGACATCAAATCATTAATTTGGATGAATGTAATTTTAAAACATGATATTATTGCATTATAACTTTTCCAGTAAAATTACTTTTACTAGAAGCACAGAGTTATGTGGCTTCACTTCGTGGATTTTATCTCAGAGTGAAATCCAGAGCTGCCTATAATTTAAAGATGGTTTAAAAAAAACCTAAACATAAAAATAAAATAAAAATCCACTGGAGTTTCTTTTCTTTCCCTGACGTGAGGTCCGTTCTCATGTGCCTCACTGAATTCCCTTGAAGAAATAAAAATAGTGATCAGAATTGACCATTTTCTAAAGGTCAATTGCACAAACAGTTGCTCGGTCGCTGCTGCACTGAAGAACACAAAACACCGAGCAGCGTCTACAGGGGAAAAGTTGCACGACTGCACTCACCAGGGTCCATATCTGTAAAATCAATACTTATCTTTTTTTCGAAGTGCTTAGTGGATTATTGCAATGATTATATTTTAGTGATTTATGAAAGAGCTGAGCACAGCGTACATTGACCTCGAGGCCAAACCCAGTGCATAAATATTTATGTTTGTACCAGCAGATAGAAAATGACTTTTATTTAAGTGCTGACCGGGTGCACTTCACTTTGCCTCATGCTAATGTTCGGCAGTCAGACGTCGTGACAGCTGGACAGAAATGGAGTCAGTGTGGTTGTAATTCTGATCTGTTGTTCAGCTCTAATAAAATGCAGAATCGTCTTTCTTCATAGTCTTGAGAGGCTGATCTGATGATGGACTGAATATGAATAAATAGATTACGTGTCTCCACTTCCTCCCACTTTACCAAAATTAAGCTATAATATTCTGAATAAGGGTGCTGCCATCTTGCCATCACAGTTGTAATCATTGTTTCTTGACCAATCCCGAGTCGGTCTCAGCTGTCAATCATGTGTGTAAGATATATGGTCCTGACACTAAGAAATTCGATTTCTTTCCCACTATCAGAAGAATTTGTTTTGCGTCACGTCAAAGGTTTAGTTTTAGTTGTGTCCTCTTTTTACTGTGATAACCAACCAATGTTTTTTCTATCACTGCAGGACAGACAGAGCGAGCGGCACAAAGACTCTCGTCTAAACCTCCGGCCGCCGAGTCAGTCTGCTACCTACGCCACGGTGTCCGCCTGGCATCACCAGCCCGAGAAACTCATCATGGAGTCCTGCGGGTACGAGGCCACCGTGAGTCCCATTTTACTCTCTTTACATTTTACTATTAGCAATGAATTAATATCAAACACACTTTGGTCATTTTTTACCATCAAGTAGTCCGACCCGACTCTGGTGTGTTTCGATTCTTCCTCCTAGTACCTAGGATCGATGATCATCAGGGATCTACGAGGGATCGAGTCCACACAAGATGCCTGCGCCAAAATTAGGGTGAATATAACTGAAAATAACTTTTTATTCTACTTTTAATTTTTACTGATCTTTAATAAAAAAACATTTGAAACCATTTAATTTATTATAAATATTAATTAAAGACAATCAATTTGAAGTGCATGAACCATCCTGGAGGACATGTCTCCACTTTGTGATGTTTTATTCGGTTTTTATAGCATCAAATATCTAAGACTAGTTTGGTCTATGTCCCATCCAATCACATGGAGGAGGCAAGGTTTATAACCTGTACTGCAGCCACCAGGGGGTGATGAAGATGATTTGGCTTCACCTTTGTCCACAGCCCAATAGTTGGCACGTCATGTACTTTCTTTTTTTTATTGTGTTTGTTACAGAAATCTAAAGACTCTAGAAAGGGTCCAGTTGTCATCCTGTCCATCACCTACAGGGGGGTCAAGTTCATCGATGCAGCCACGAAGGTAAAGGGAAAGTTTGTGTGTGTGTGTGTTTATTGATCTGTATAACTCACACACTCCAGGTTCAGCCTCCATTAGCAGCTGATTTCCAGTCACTCCCCTCCGATTCCTTTCTGTCTCTCCATCAGTCCATCGTCGCAGAGCACGAGATCAGGAACATCTCCTGCGCTGCCCAGGACCCTGATGACCTCTGCACTTTTGCTTACATCACCAAGGATCTGAAGAGCGGCCACCACTTCTGTCATGTCTTCAGCACTGTGGAAGTGGTGAGTAAAACATGTCTAGACTGTTAGAATCACAAAAACATTGGTCTGAACCAAAGGCTGTTTATAAAGATGGACGGAGCATCTCCATGATGAGCTGTCAATCATGACGTTTCAGTATCAAATAACTAATTAAAACCAAACTTATCAGAAAGATCTGCACTGGTTGACACCATCTTTGAGAAAAATGTATTTGACTCTTTAATTTGGCCCACCTCCCATCAACTAACATGGAAGAGGCAGAGTTTTTGACTGCCGCCAGTCACTAGGAGGCGATCAAAACAACTTGGCTTCACTTTTGGGGAGTTGTCATGTCGTCCATCTTTATAAACAGTCTCTGATGTAGTAGATGTGTGGATCCAGTATTTTTCCCCCCCTTCCTTTCACATGACGGATTAGCACGTTAGCGTTGGCTAACGTTTACACTCTCTGAACGCTCCTCTGGTTCTATATACTCCTTCAGACTTGAGCTTTTTATAAACTCATTAATCAGGTGAAAAACCAGGTGTAATTTATGGGACTTCAGGAATCCTGCGGCTAAAACCGCATGCTGCATCCGATGGACATCGTTTTCTTTGATCGGCTCATCAAATGGCTTGATTGAAGTTCCTCTCCCGCTACGCATGGCATTTCCACGTACAGGCACCAATTATGTTGTAATTTGTGTCTCGGCTTCTGTAAAGGTTGATTACAGTGCATCATCTGTGACCAACAGGCGACTGCAGAGCCGCGTTTACCTGCAGGGAAACTGTTTTAACTGAACAGTAACGAGTTGATTTGAGCTTTCACAAGACCAGATTATAAATTTAGAGCGTCACTCACTTGTATTTAACACGAGTCACTTCAGGTGCAGGTAGCGTGTCAAACAAAAAAACTCTATTTTGCTTTTCTCTGAAAATGTTTTTGATATTCACTATGGGATGATTTAAGTAATTATCCCAACGGTTTGAGGAGCAAAGCTCTTCTGTGCTATGCTTTTATTTTTTTATGATTCATAGGGAAGCCAAAATAATCATGGCATTTCTACTTATTGAGATATAAAATATTAAAAGCATCAGAAGTGAGCAGAAATATAAATGTGGTGAATTTTGATGATAAAAGCCACTTGTTGCTTTTCCAACGGAAACATTTAGCAGGTTTTATATGGAGGTCGTTTAAGAATCCAAACAAATGACTTGCTGTGAATCAATTAAAACTTAAAGACAACCACTGTGAGGACGTTGTTGTGTCCACACCCGCTGAAGTAGAAGGAAGTTTTGAGACTTTTTGTTCTTTTAATCACCACAACTTGACTTAATTTTCAGTTTCTTGCGATTTGATCAAATCTAAAACTAATTTTTCGCTCCCTCACACAGACTCAGACCTACGAGATCATCCTAACGCTGGGACAGGCTTTCGAGGTGGCCTATCAGATGGCGATCCAGTCCAGGGCGAGACAGTACGTCCCCCCTTCAACTCTGGTCTCAGAGGTCATAGAGACCAAAACCACCCGTCCTGCGTCCCAGTCGTGGAGCAGCATGCGGAGATCAGCAGTGAGTACCACCTCACAAACACCGGGGCACGATGAAAGTGTGTATCTGTGAGTGTGTGCGATCGTAAGTCACGTAAGGTGCACGGACCTCGTGACCGACTTCTTCCTGTGAATAACCAGTGAGCCACCTACAGAGGAGGCTCCACTCTGTGTGTGTGTGTGTGTGGAAGAAAGTGATGAGTCATTACTTTACTTCCAATTTCCTCTCACCCAACCCCCAACTCAGTGAGTCACTCCGATCAGGGGGGAGATTTCCTTGTTGTGCATATATGCGAAAGATGATGAATGAATAGGTTTATTTGTTGCTCACAGGCGGGTGTATATGATTTCCTTTGGGACTTCTCTCAGGCCTCGGCCGCGCTGGTTGGACCCATCCGCTGCTTCCTCGCCATCGATTGAGTGTGTTGCGTAAACGCTCACATAGACCTCCGAGCCGCGCACTGATGCATTGACCTCTCAGGCTGCATATAATGAGCCTCCAGCGATCACTGTCACCTGAGAGGAGCTGCACAGCCGGGAGCTCGAACGCTGCCGGACCACATGCTCATGCAGGGACACAAATCACTTTGTTTCACTACCTGTCTGTACGGATAAAATATGGAGTAATCACAGAGCTGCATAATGAGTGTGGCTGCTTGTTAAGGTTTTAGATGAGATGGGGGGGG